AGGTCAGCCGCAAAGGGATTAATTAATGCCAATTAGTGAGTGTTTTTTTGTCATGTGGACACCTGCTTTTCTATGGGGTAAATGGCACTGGGTTATTGTCTGCGCTGTAACCCCATCGTTTGGCTTAGAGCCGTGATACTCAGGAACCAAAGTAGCGATCAACATTATCTCAAAGAGCCACAGCAAAATGACTGACCAGGTATTATTCTTTTATCAGCTACAGTTGGTTATTAACATAGTGAAAGCATCCTGATTAGTTAATAGTTATATCACACCGTGTTTTAATGTCATGTGCTGCAAAGAGCCGCGGGAGACACATTAAAGAGCCACTTTCGGCTCCCGAGCCTCAGTCTGAGTGTCACTGGCTTAGAGTATGACTAATATAACTACTGTGACCAGTGTGCTAGCAGGTCCACAGGGGGCGCTGTGCTAGAAATGCTGTCTTTCTACAATGCCATAAAACGGCGGTCCTGCCCACATGTGATCAGTAAATATCCTGACTCACGTTAGTCAGCAGTTGGAGCGCTTGCCCCGGTGCCCTGACCACATTCCAGTATGAGTAATTTATGTTCTGTCTAATTTCCCTTCCGGTTTCAATTGGAGATTATGTTCTTCCTCACTTCCCGGCACAGCTGCTGCCCAGCGGTGGCTGCCATTCAGTGACAGGTGGAGTGGCTCTTTGTAAGTAATGTTTGCAAAGCACTGTGGGATCTTGCGTGATGAAAGGGAAAGAATTGAAGACTCTTGACTCCCTCCCCTGTCAATGCTGGGTTTCCAAATCCCATCTTCCCCTTAATGACGTCAACCCTTTGCCCTTATTTAAGCAGGAAAGGCTGCAAAGGAGAAACAGGCATTTCCAAAGGTCTGTTCAGCCCCAGTTTGTCTCTCCCCTCCCACTAACCGCACGGCCTCATGCCCCTCGGTCTCCCATCAGGTTTCAAGAGAAGCAGGGGCTCTTGGCCAGCAACGGTGTGAGTGGGACTCTGCCTGCTTGACAGGCTGAGTGGGGTGTGTCGCCCACAATTTCCTAGGTTATTCTTCTGTGTTTCCTTTTCCCACTATTAATAGACTTGGAGCCAATCTGAGCTCTTTCGACGAGGTGACTGGGGGGAGGGAGAGTTACAGAGAGAGGAAATTAAAGGGCTTGGATGGGGAAAGAACGTAGCAGCAGGAGCTGCAAGGAGGAGAGGGGTGGCTTTAGATGGCATTAGGGGCGGGACGTTCCTTTTCTAGGCGCTTTGCTCTGGTGTGTTTTTCTTTTCTTCCCGTGCCCGGAGCCAGGGGCCTACCTCTTCCCGGAGCCGGGGACCCGCCTCTTCCCTCGTCTGGAGGCGGGGGCCCTTTCCGAATAAATCCTGCCACAGTTTCTCCTCCTCCCCCAGAGCTTCAGTTTTAAAACTCTGGGCCAGATCCTCAGTTGGTGTAAATTAGCATCACTCTGTTGACCTTAGTTTAGCTGTGCCAATTTACACCAATCAATGATGTGGCCCTCTGTTGGGTTTGGATAAACGGAACAAGCCCTAACAACATGAAGCTCAGAGAAGCAGGTTCTTCATTGCCCAGCCGCTCAGATGGTCATTCGCACCACCGCCAAGTACGATCAGTTCAGAACAGGAGCGTTTCACATCCACTTTGTGCTGCCATGAATGACTACACAAGACACGGGGCAACAGAGAATCAGGCTCAGTCATCAGCGAGGACTGAACTTGGCACTTTCAGCATTGCAACCAGAGACCCACCTCATTTGCTGTGAGGGGGTAACTCCTGTAGCTAGCATTCGGTAAGAGACTCTTATCCACGCTAGGACTTCCCTCGAGGGAGACAAATGATCTCTCATGCACACTGACATGATCATGTTATGCTTTTATTCAGGGCACTTATTCCTCCCAGACTATTTAACCTCAAACTGCTGCGTGTGTGTGAATTTTTAATTGCCTTTTCAAAGCCTCCCATGCCACATGCCTTTGCTTTCAGGATTTGGATTTGTCGCAACTATTGTTAAGCTGCCATGACGATTCCACCTCCAAGATACTGTCTTCCAACAAACCTGGGGACTAACGGGGTATCTCTTAGTTTTCCCTGGCATGCTACAAGAGATGGAAGTCCAGTTAATGAGGTGTTACTAACCTCACCCTGATGCTATCACCCCGAAATGTCCAGTCTGGCCTCCTTAGCAGTGTCTGTGAAACAGCAGCAGGAGGACTGTTTAACCTGTTAGCATAGGAGCAGTGAGATGCGTCCTCGCTGGCAGTCCATTAGTTGAACTGACGGTGATAGGAGCTTCCTTGCCCCTGCTGGGCATCAGGATAACTTTCTCCAATAGATGGATGGCAAAAAGTAAATTAGAGCAAACATGGGTATGGACACACTGGCTTCCTACCAGTGGCAAGGACTCAGCCACTGGTTGGTCTTTCTAGCCAAGGCTTAGCCTAAGCTGCACTTTGCTGGCAACATGAGTGTATTGAAAATACATCCCAGGACGTGGTGTGTGTCAACTGAGATGGGGAGAAGTGACGGGGTTGAGGACTTCCTCTCCCCTGGAAGCTTAAGGACCTGCATACCATTTAGGGCATCTGCTCCATTCCAGCCGCCAAAAATTGCTCTTCAGAAGAATCTGCCTGAGGCCCAGAGATAAGTTGTCCTTGGACGGGGGGTGGGGTGGGGTGGGTTGGGCAGATGCCAGGGCTGAGCTGAGCTCCATCAGAGGTTTAAAAAAAAAATCACCCCCACCTTCTGATGAATTTTGGGGGGAGGGGTGTTTAACAAGGGGCTTCCCAAGGCTCCTCACCATCCCATGACTGCATCACAGGGTTTGTGCTGAAACAATGGCCTTTTGTCAGGGTTGATGGTCCCACCTAACAGATGCCTCTTATATAGATAGATCACTCCTGCCAGGGGCTCGCGGGTGGGCGGGAGATCTCGTTCTCCGCTCTCTCGCTCTCTCTCTCTCTGTTATGCCTTTTGATATCAGCTGCAACAAAGGGTGTGGCGGGGGGGGGAATTCCATTGCTTACATTCCAGCCCGTGTCCCTCTTGAGACTGCTGTCCATGTGCGAGGGAGCCTGGTTACGTAGGATGGGCAGGAGGAGTGAGAACTGCAGCTCTCATCCATCCAGGAAAAGTCACAGGTTGCAGATTTTTGTATCTGGGAATGAGTTAACGGAAGCTCCCCTCTGTGGAGGAACATGTGAGGGGGTGGAGGGTATGAAATGACTACAGCTGGAGGTGACATGGACACAGGCCATTTGCGATCCAGGCGGACACCTGATTGGCTCTGGCAGGGTCAACAACCACAGCTTTGGGGGAAATCAGATCCCCAACATATTCTTATTATTTAATATGTATGGCGATACCTAGAGGCCCCCAGCGGAGATCAGGACCTCATTGTGCTTGGCACTTCACATACGCGTAATCTCCCAGCCCCAAAATGCTGACAAGACAGGACGGACAGAAAGCTGGGATGGTGAATAGAGGTGGCACAGGGAGGTGAAGTGACTTGCCCAAGGACACTCAGCAGGTGAGCTGGGAACTCAGCCCAGGCCCTAATCTGTGCAAGGATGAGAGTGAGCAGGACTGATGGCTTGGAGGGTGGCGATTGTACTGGTGGGGAGGCTTTCAGTGAGACCCAAGCCAGCAAAATACCCGGGTGTGAGCCTAGTGTAAAGCCAATTGACTAAGGGGGCTGTCAATCAAGTAGAGACCTAAGGCGGGGACTTCCTTTCTCTCCATATCAAACCCCTGGTCTTCCAGCTGGGGGAGAGTCTGTCAGGGTATGTCTGTGTTTAGCGTTGGGGGTGCGATTCCTAGCTAGCATGCTAAAAATACATTGTATCCATGGCAGCGTGAGTAGGGCTAGCCACCCCTTATGTATTTGGCATGGCCAGCACCTTGCACCACCGCGGCTCCACTCCGCTTTCAGCATGCGTATGCCTACGTGAGCTGGGAATCACACCCCCAGCTTGAAAGTGTAGACGTACCCTACTCAGGCAGTTGGAAGCCTAGGTGCTGGAATGAGGGGTGCTGGGAGTGCTGCTGCACCCCCTGGCTTGACGTGGTTTCCATCATATACAGGGTTTACAGTTTGATTCAGTGGCTCTCAGCACCTCCCCTATACAAATTGTTCCAGCACCCCTGGTTGGCAGAGGAGAATGGCAGGAGCCATTGGTGAATGTATATTGTGCAAGGTATCCTGTCTGGTTTGCTGCTCGGTTGTTTTTTTTTTTTTTTGTTAATTTAAATCAATTTTGGTGTTATTCTTTTGCCCACCCCTCTGAACTGGGTTTTTGTGGTTTTGAGCTGTCTCGCTGCTGCCCTCTGCCACAGATCCTCTCTGTAGACTCAGTCTTCAACTGGGTATTCTTGAAGATTGGGTTGGAGGTGACGTGGGAACAAAATGCAGAGGGGTGGCAAGAGGGAAAGAGCCTGCCTGGTATCAAGAGCAAGTCTCACATGCTCCTCCATTGGCTTGTTACGTGTTTTTTCATGTGCCTCAGTCTAGGTGGTAATATGAAAGGGCTCAACGCTTGTAAAATTCAACAGGCTCTTCAGTAAGAACTATTTACAGAGATGCTGTGTCTGCACCTAGCATTCCAGCCATGTGCACACAGACCGACTTCCTGGTGCCTCCTCCAAACTCTTCCCTCCTGCAATCTGTGCTCCTCCTTCCAAGTTCTATGCAATTTATGATACTTGTACCCTTTAGACTGGTTTCTTCACTTCTTTTCCTTACCTCGTCCTCAGCCCTCCCCTCTGCCACGCTGCTCCTTAGGGCATTTTCTGAAAATCCCACACAGTGAGCTGGTCCTATAGGGGCTGCCAGGGAAGTGCTGAGCGAGTGTTCTCAGCAGTGGGCAGGGGCTGGTTCCCGCACATTAACTATTTACACACGTGTCCGCGCTGGACCTGGTGCATGGGAAGAGCAGGTGGAGGGGCGGGCTGGAGGGAAGGCAGGAAACCCTCCCTTTCGTTTTGTAACCATTTGGCCCTTTTGTGTTTTTTAGGAGGTGCAGCTGGACAAGAAGGCACGACTGCTGTTTCCACCACAAGTGCCCCGTCTGCCAATGCCACCTCCAAGGGCAGCCCACCCCCCACTGACGCAACAGGTGCCCCGACCCCCACTCACGCCCTGACCCCCACCAAAGCTGACACCTCACCCTCCACCGGCATCCTGCCTACTGCCTCGACTTCCACCAAGGCCCTGCCTGTTGCCAGCGCCCTGCCCCCCCCCACCTCTGGTACACCAGGTGGTGCCGACGCCCCATCCTCCGCTGATGCTGGAACCTCGCCGGGCACCGGCACCCTGCCCCCCACCGGTGTCCCATCCCGCACTCATGCAAGCACTCTGCCCCCTGCCGACACCAACACCCCGCCCACTGAAGTTAGTGCTCCCTCTGAGGGCGCAGCAGCAGTGGTCAGCACCACTGCCGGCTCTGCAGAACCCCTCACTGTCCGTGCCCTGACTGTCCCAGTTGTCCATGTCCTCACCTCCACAGCCGTCCCCAGCTCCGTGGCCACCCCAGCTGCTCCCATGGCTGTTGCCCCGAGCCCTACCATCACTGCTTACATCCCCAGCTCTGGAGATGCCACTGATCCGGCCGCCGTGTCTCCGTCGCAGAAGCTCCAAACACCAGAAACCGTTACAGGTATGAGCAGGACTGTGTGTAGGCTTTGGAGGCTGGGGGAATGCTGGCTGACTCCGGAATAGAAAATGGGTCATGGAGTCTTTCCAGGCTAGGTTAGGTCCTGGGTTCGTGTCGAGTTCAGCTTGGCCATGGCTGCAGTCGCTGCCACCCAGCAGCCGTTCAGCGGCCTGCATGAGATCACCTGGTGTCTCGGAGTCCAATGGCCAGGGGTCCCTATCACAAAAGCCACCCTAGCAAGTGCCCCCCTTGTTGACAGCCTCAGCAAAAGAGGCTCAGGACCAAATGGAGCATAGAGGCCAAATTCCTCGCTTGTCCCTACCAGGGCCCCGTCTGTGCTTGTTTGAAAATGTAGCAAGTATGCCATGGAAACCAGCTTATGTATGACATGATGGAGAAGGGGGAGGCAGTGGAGGTATGCCAAGAAAGGGACAACATGGTCAACACAATGGACTAGGAAAACGATCGTTGAAGAAGCATTCTGGATACGAATGGGGCAAGGTTGTATTTTTCAAGGCCAGAATGAAGGACGTTGCTCTAATTAAGATGAGAGCCTGGATGAGAATTTTAGTTGTGTGGATGGATAGAAAAAGCTGCATCTTAGAGAGGTTATACAGAAAGAACATAAGAACAGCCATACTGGGTTAGACCAAAGGTCCATCTAGCCCAGTATCCTGTCTTCCGATAGTGGCCAATGCCAGGTGCTTCAGAGGGAATGAACAGAACAGGTCATCATCAAGTGATCCATCCCCTGTCGCCCATTCCCAGCTGCTGACAAACAGAGGCTAGGGACACCATCCCTGCCCATCCTGGCTAATAGCCATTGATGGACCTATCCTCCATGAACTTATGTAGTTCTTTTTTGAAGAATCGGCATGCTGTAGACATAGCCTGGATGTGAGGACCTAGACAGAGATCTGAATCAAAGATGATGCCCAGGTTACAGGCCTGTGATCAAGAGAGGAGGTTACGAGGAGATTTTCCTTTTTTTTTTGCAGGAGAGTTTAAGAGTTCTTTTAGCCATGCTGAGCTTAGGCTGAAAGCTAGACATCCACAGGGTGTCAGAGAGGCAGGCTGAGATTTGATTCTGAGTAGAAGGAGACAGGTCTGGAGTAGAGAGGTAGAGAGCATAGAGATGGTGGTTGAATTAGTGTTTATGGATGAAATTACCCAGGGATAAGGATAGAGGGAGAAGAGAAGAGGACCCAGGACAGAGCCTTGTGGATCCCTCATAGAAAGTCGGAGGGGGACACACTGAAGGAGTGATTAGAGAGAACCAGGAGAGGACAGAGTCATGAAAGCCAAGGGAGGACAAGATCTCAAGAAGAGCAGGACTGACTGTATCGAAGGCAGCTGTCCGCTCCAGGAGGGTGAGGATGGAGCACTGACTGGTTCTGAGCTTTGGCTAAGAACAGGTCATTAGAGACTTTGTCAAGAGCGAGTTCAGTGGATTGCAAGGGGCAGAAGCCAGACTGGTGAGGGTCTGGGATGGAACGGAAGGAGAGGAACTCCAGACAGCAGCTGTGGACACTGCATTAAATGAGCTTCATGATGAAAGGGAGAAGGGAAATGGGGGGAGTAGTTGGAGCAGCAAGTGGGGACAGAGGTGGTGGGTTTTTAAAAAAAAAAAATGGAGAGGCCAAAGCATGTTTGTGTTGTGAGGAGAAGGAGTCGGAGGAGAGAGGTTAAGGAGAAGCATAAGGGAGGGGATGAGCCTAGACATGAGGGAGATCAGGAAATAAGGTGGGAGGAGGCCACTGGGGCAAGTGAAGGGGTTAGGGGAGGAGAACAGATGAGAAACTGCTGCGTCTGTGACAGGGGAGAAGGAGGAGAGTTGTAGGAGAGGAGGTGAGCTGAGGGGACGGGGAAGGTCACGATTTTTGTCAGTTTTCTCTTGGAAGAAATCAGCGAGATCCTTCTATAAGGGGGATTTATGGGGGGCATTCAGCTGGCACCCTCCCCCCATCACAGCCCCTGGCAGATCTCCTCAGAGAGTGGCTTTAACTTGGCATAAAGCAGGGCAGCCTTCAGGCCCCAGAGTGGTGAGGTTTCATCTCAAGGGAATATAACAATCTACAGCAAGTTTTTACATATCAGTATTCTCTAACCTGCCCCCCCACCCCTTTTATTTTAATAAACACCACTAAGGAATTCCTAGACAAAAAACTTCAGGATACAGGTAGGGCTGCCAATAAATGTCATGTAAAGTTTAGGCAAAAGCTTCCTTTTGCAGTTCACCGTTCATTGCTCCTCGTGGTGCCTGTCTGCTCTTCGCATTTTGGTCGGGCTTCGCTATAACTGATCAACGTCTTGTTTGTTTGTGTTCTGATGTCTAGTAAGGGGCTCAGGTGCTACTGCGGACAAGGAACATACCCCCCAGAATGGACATCAGTCAGTGAAACCTGTGGCATCTACGGAAAGTACTACCAAACATGGGAAAGTTGCAGTTCCAACCACACGGCAGTCGGGTGTTATATCACAGCCACCAGCCTCAAGCTCTGGAACTGTGATCTCTATTACAGCCAGCACATCACTGAGCCACCACACTCCAACTCCTGGCAGGGAATCCAAGCCCACTGACTCCCTGCTCAAAAGTCAGGTAACAAGGGCCTGGGTATAGGTGGGCGTGCCCAAAGCCAGCAGAAGAACAGGCTCAGTCCTCTTGGGCGGCCTAAGACTGTCAAGCCTTATGGCGCTGGAACATGCCAGGTTCAATATGTGTGATCAGGTCTCTCTCTGGTGGCTGGACCACAGAAAAGATACAAGCCCTACTACTGCTGCTGACAGCAAATAGAGACCCTCTTTCTGCTCAAGGAGCAGGGGCTTGTGTTTTATTCCCAAAACAGCGTATTCATTTGAAGTAGCACCCAATGTATGCATAGGTCAGGGGTTCCTTATGGCATGTGTCATTGCGTATGTATCTCTGTTGTCGTCAGGGGGTGATCTCTTGCAAGGGAAGTCTCTACAAACACATGAGCCCGCAAGACAGGAATGGACAGACCCCCCCCCCGCCCCGCAGTGTATAGATTTGGAGATGGGGCGAAGGAGGACTACTGTTGGGAAGCTGTTCAGGAAAGACATCTCGTTTGCGGGGTGGGATGGGGAGTATAATGGAGGGCGCGAGGCCTGGATTCCCAAAGGTCCTTAGGCTTTGTGACACCGAGTGACTCGGTGCCGAGAAAATCACAGGAGGTAGGTGCCCAGGCTCTCTATACAATGAATGGGGACAGACAGGTGCCTTACACTGTAATTCACAAAAACCAGCATGCAAGGCACGGAGCCGCCTAAGCTGGCCAATGGGAGATGCCAAGCGGGGAGTGGGGGGGGGAGTGCTAAGCCCTGCCCCTGCATTGGAGCTAAGTCTGGGCTGCAGGGAGGTGCCTAGCTCCGCTTGTGAGTCCCAGCTGTGGGGTTTGCCATCTACGGTTTTTGCAAGAAGCCAAGCAGCAGAGGGAAAGGTCCTACCTCCCTCACTACTCAGCCCAGTGGTTGGAGCACTCCCCTGGGATGTGGGAGACTCCCCCCCCCCCGCCCCAATTCAAGTCCCCCCTCTGCCTGAGTGGGAGAATGGGTGGGGGGGTGTCTTCCACATCCCAGGTGAGTGCCACTAACTACTAGGCTACCAGATACACTGATGTAGGGCTTCCTCAATCTCTCCTGTTGCAGCTGTTATGTGGGAGCTCTTCTTTTTCTTCCCCTCCCTCCACTGAACTCACCTGATGGGCCCAGTCTGGTAGACGATCTCTGAGCACACCTCTCGGATTGGCCCCACAGATGATGTAGACGGCCAAACGCCTGTCTTCCCCCGGTTTGTGAATTGCTCTGGAGTTTAAGTGGGAGATAGGGGCCCAGGTACCTAGAGTGAGGCATCAGTGCCGAGGCCCAGAGGCAGGAACATAGGCATGGCGGCAATTTTTAAGGCAAACACAGGTGCTGAGGGAGTTTTGGCATCTCCTGGGTTCAGCGGCAGTTTTGAGGGTTGCCGTGGAGCCAAAACTGGGACTTAGGTTTCTAAATCTGGGGTTTAGGCACCCAGGTACTTTTGTGAATCCAGCCCTGACTGACTTGGAGAGGAATTAGATTGTTATGGCTTTGGACAGAGGCCATATCTGGTCATTTTGTTTGCTCTAGAAATTGGGCATGCTATAAACAACAACAGAAATTAGATGATGAGGCTAGGACGTGAGCTGCATCAGGCACAGGAGAGGGGGCTGTGATAACAGGAAGCAGGGAGAGGGAAATGTTTTGGGGGTTTGTTTTCACAGTGGGTGGGCATGCATCATGGCTGACTCCCATAAATCACGTGACGGAGTGTCGGACTCAAACCACTTATTGGCAGGAACACGCTGGTGAGACCCAGATCTCTCCACCTGACCCCTTGCTCTAGGTCCTAAGCCCGTTTTGGCACATATGCTAGCAAATACAGGTCAGATGACAGTTTCCTGGTTAGAAGTGCCCAGATTGTTCAGGACACTTACCTATAAAGGGTTGGAAGATGGGCCCCGTAGACCTGCCAGGCCTTTGCCATCTCTGCCCCTTGATTCATATTCATGGCTTCTAAGGCCAGAAGGGACCATTAGGTCATCTAGTCTGACCTGCCTAACACAGGCTATAGAACTGATTGAAGTATTGTATAAGTAGGGGCATAGCGAGCAGATCGAGGGACGTGATCATCCCCCTCTATTCGACATTGGTGAGGCCTCATCTGGAGTACTGTGTCCAGTTTTGGGCCCCGCACTACAAGAAGGATGTGGATAAATTGGAGAGAGTCCAGCGAAGGGCAACAAAAATGATTAGGGGTCTGGAACACATGACTTATGAGGAGAGGCTGAGGGAGCTGGGATTGTTTAGCCTGCAGAAGAGAAGAATGAGGGGGGATTTGATAGCTGCTTTCAACTACCTGAAAGGGGGTTCCAAAGAGGATGGCTCTAGACTGTTCTCAATGGTAGCAGATGACAGAACGAGGAGTAATGGTCTCAAGTTGCAGTGGGGGAGGTTTAGATTGGATATTAGGAAAAACTTTTTCACTAGGAGGGTGGTGAAACACTGGAATGCGTTACCTAGGGAGGTGGTAGAATCTCCTTCCTTAGAGGTTTTTAAGGTCAGGCTTGACAAAGCCCTGGCTGGGATGATTTAACTGGGATTTGGTCCTGCTTCGAGCAGGGGGTTGGACTAGATGACCTTCTGGGGTCCCTTCCAACCCTTATATTCTATGATTCTATGATTCTAAGTGTTTGCAACCCTGTGTCTCTGATCAGTCTGCTGCATCAACGACCAGCTGTCCTTCCACCACGCAGAAATGACTTGGGTTGTTTTTTTTTTTTTTCAGTTCATTTGTGAGAACCAGAACTTGTCCAGCGACTCAGCAATCATTCTAACCCTGAACCAGCCTATACGCTGTGTGAGTACCCCCCTTTACACACAACACCCCGTTGTCCTTGGCTACAACAGCAACTTCCCTGCAGCTTTTAACCCCAGGGATCTCAAAGCGCTTGACAAGCTGTAGGCACAGGAATGATTTCACCAGCTACTGAAATGCAATCACTTCTGGGGTGGAAAATGGCAACTGCTTAACAGTACACAGCAATACTTCCCAATAAGGCAAGAGACCATATCCAGTTGAAACTGGTGCAGGAGTTAAAGATAGGCAGACTATAATCAGCAGAGTAGGAAGATGGTCAGAAAACAAGCATTAACCAACCCAAGTTGGTTGGGGAAAGTGCAGATGGAGCTTTAAAGACCAGGGTGAAATCCTGCCTCTGTTAAAGTCTGTTGGAGTTTTGCCATTAACTTGATTGGGTCCAGAATTTCATCCCAGAAGTGGTCAGGACCTTGGATTTATATCTCATCTACGAGATGATACTTCCAGGGGCGCACTGCCCTCCGATAGCATGCTGGGGAGCTTGCTCAATATTGAGTGAACAGTGGCCCCCCCGAGTCACCAGCACCATTCAGCGCAGCAGCTAGGTGGTTTGTTGGTTGGTTTTTGAAGATCTCCCATCCAAGTTCTAGCACAGACAGACCTTGCTTATTTTATGAGACCTAGCAACGTCACGGCAGAAGGTAGCATGACTGCTCGTCTTACAGCAAATGACCTGCAATCTGGGACTCACTATATTAAGGTCCAAAAAGCCCTGTTAGACCAAGGGGCCAGACACAGTGTTACAGTCCTGTATCTTGCAGACAGTTAGAACTAGGCCCACATGCCTTACAGCTCTGGAAAACTGGGGTTCCAGCAGGAAATGAGATTCATGTCTGGCCATGGCAGGTTGTGAGGGTGGACCAGTAAACCACACCATTCAGATTACCTTCTCGCTCCCTCTCCCTCCACTTCAGTTCTGACATGATTTTAACAGCTAATTTCTGAGAAAACCCTAGAGGGAGAGAGAAAAGTCCCTATTCTCTTCTTGCTTGCACTGGGGAAGATCAGGAGCAACTCCACTAAAGTGAGTGGAGTTACCAGCTGTAAAACTGGTTTAGGTTGAAAGGAGAACCCGGCACTTATCTTTTCTACCAAAAGTACTCGGACTCTTTCTTAATGTGTCCCACACCACAGCTCAGGGACCCCTCACTTGTCATTCACTGTCACATAACATCCTAGTGGCTACCACAGCAGTTGCTTATCTGGGAAAGTATTTAGTTTATTTCTCGCTGTCTGTAATATGATGTAGCACCCTGGAAATGAGGAGGAGGAGCCAGCATTATGCGACCAGCCAACTTGCCACAGAACACTAGCGGCTGCTTCAGATTTGGAGCACAGTTCAGATTCGGAGTTGCTCTCGGACAGTATAAAGCTCTAGTTTCTGGCGCCGGTGGTTCTCATGATAGTATAAATACCGAGTCAGAGGGGGTCAGGACTTCTGGGTCCTTTTCGTGGCTCTCCCTGCGTGGCCTCAGAGCGGTCAGTTAAACTTCACGTTACCTGTAAAATGGAATAATCCTAACTTCACTGGAATGCAGGGAGATGCAATTCCCGAATGTCTGTAAAATGCATTGAGATCCTCTGATGAAAGAGTCTGTTGTGCAGTACACATCGTTATTCATACAGATCATGGCAGTTCTGAAGCTGCCAGGACCAGGAAGCAGACCTTCCCCCTTCTGTTTATCAGCCTGTTAATCCCTGTCTGTCACTCGTGGGGGGGGGGAGGGGGAGGGGGGGGCGGGAGTGCTTGGTTTGAGAGGTGAAGATGTTCCCGGCTGGGTCCAGCTTGAACCCCTGGCTCTGGGGATGGATGTTAGGGATGGACTCGGAAGTAGTTTTGAAAGTACAGTCAATCCCCTTTCCCACCATGCAGGCTTAAAAAACATACATAAACGAGAGCCTGAAAATGGCAGGGACTCTGTGAGTGGCAGCCCTGCACATTTCTGAGATGCAGGGCCTCTGAGCCACTTCTGGCCTCTCAAGCAATACAATAGCTTGATGGCTGGCCAGTGGGCCCCTTGAAAGCACTCTTGTGGGGTTGGTGCAAGCTTTCACCTAAATCGCAGCCTGAGAGGCAACATCTGAGATGGGAAATGACTCGCTGCTGCCACCACCTGGTCATCAGTCACCCCTTCTCTTTCTTGCCACTACTGGGGGGAAATTAGCTCCTTAAATGGATACTATCAGACTAAAAACCCCATCTGGGTCTTTATCTGTGTTGCTAATAACACCCTCTGATGATTTAATTGCTTAGGGTTCCAAAAAGCATTCGGCATTAACATGGATAATATGGATAAAGCATCCATAGTTAAACAGGATTTAAAATAACAATACATGTCTGGAAGGGATAAACTCTCATGCTTCAGGCCATAAGCCAGCCTCTCACTGCGGAGGTCAGGAGGAAACTTCTCTGGGTAGGTTAGTCCAGAACTGCCCACTTTAGTGTTTCTTGCACCTTCCTCTGAAACAATTCGTATTGGCCACTGCCAGAGACAGTATCCTGGATTGGATGGACCTCAGGGCTGATCCAGTCTGGCTCTTCCTACCTTCCTCTTTACTTTTCCCCACTGGTATATTTCACTTGGACTGGAGGATGAAGATACACTGGCCTGTTTCGCTGGTGTTTCTAGTTAGTTTCACTTCCATGTTGTCAGTCAGTAGCACTAGACAGGTTTGCAAACTGCAGGGGGCTGTTTAACATAGTTTGCCAGACTGAATCAGAACCAAGGTCCATCTGCTTCAGTATCCTGTCTGACGCTGGCCAGATGCATGTGCTGCAGTGGAAGCTGTAAGAACTCTGCTGTAGGCAGATGTGGGATAATCTGTTCCCCACGTTAGGTCCCATCCCAATCTCTGTTAAATCTCTAAATCTTTAAATCCAGACCAAAAATAACCTCTAGTTTTCAACCACCCTGTGTACATATTCATTCATGAAAATGTTTCTCCTGTATTTTATTTACAAACTCTAAAATTTGCACCTAAACTGGCTGTCACTTTTTTTAATCTTGTTTGTCTAACACGCTGGCTGTAGCCAGGGATTCTCTTCTCCCTGCAGCAGACCCTAGCGACTGTAAGAACTTGTTGCTTCGTACAGCTCAAGGAGTAAGTTCCTCCTTTAGCCTAAGTGGCAGGGTTGGTGCTCTGGTGCTGACAGTCCCAGGGCTTGATCCCTGCTGAGACCCTGTGGTGTCTGTCTGTATATACATCTTTGTTACAAAATCACACCCTAGATAGGGACGTGAACTCCCATCGACCTCAGATGTTCAGAAGAGGTGTGTGTGCAGAGAATGGACACTAGCTTAGTGTGTGTGAGCGTGACTGTAGCAGCCTGCTACTCACAGCTAAAGGAGTTTAGCAGCAGGGACTTGGACTTAGTCCTCTCCTGATGATGGTGTCTGTCTCTACACAGCCAACCTCCCCAACCCTCCCCTCTGGCTCATTTCCGGGTAGTCGGCATGTGAACATCATAGGTTAGCTTCGTCCACATCTCCTGTGTGCTTATGGGACCTGCACTTTCGCACTGTCTGGCAGGCTCATCAGGAAGTCTGCAACTCCAATTTCTTAGAGACATGGCAATTATCTGAAATGTTAATACGATGTGCTAATTAAATATTTAAGCAGCTGCAGTAAGATCTTGATTATGCATCCCACAAGCATTCGAAGGTGCCTGCCTCACCAGCTCCTGGAACGCCTCCCGCTCCGCTGCCTTTAACGCCCTATGGTAGGAACTCCTGAAAATCAGAACGATTTGTATGTCTCCCAAGCTAAGCAGATAACTGAGAACCTGCAGCATCTGCTTCCCCCTTCTGATGATCTGATAAACAAGTTTCTAGCCAAACCTTGACAGTCAGGTGAAAGAATCTCGTGCACTTCGTAACACAAGGGAAAGCGGCAAACCAAGAGCTACCAAAGAGGACTGTTTCGTTCCAGAATTGATTCAAATGTGTATTACAGGCCCCAGCCCAAATTGGGGTTCCAGTGGTCTATGTGGTGTACATGAACATAGTGAGAGACGGGCCCTGCTCAAAAGAGTTTGTGATTTAACTAGACAACCCAGACAAAGCGTGGAAGAGGAAAACAGCATCACACAAAGGTGCAGACCCAGATCCTTAATGGTAGCAAGAAGAATTTTTAAAGGGGAAGCCCCTTGCTCAGTATAATGTCCGGAGCTGGGCTGGTTTCCCTAGGCAGGGCCTCTCAGAAACACCATATCATTCATCTCATTGATTTGATTTGTTGTTTAAAGGGCCCGTGACAACTTGTTTCCCTCACCCCCCGAAAAGGAAAGGAATAGGGCTGGGAGAGCAGGTCTTTGCTTCCTGGAGATCTGTGGATTGTCGCAGCCTGGCAGCTTCACCCCCACAGCGACTGACATGGGAAAGCAGGCCTCCGACTGGGGCAGGCGCACGCCAAGCTTGCTATGTTATAAGCCCTGTCTTGAAGCCCGGATTTTCCCACGTCAGCCACGCTCAGTGCCGAACTGAGTTACTTCACTGAGCTGGAGAGTGGCAGAGGGGGGAAATCTCTGTTCTCTCTCCCTGTCCATCTGTTTAGGGCGGTTTGTTGATTCAAGTGCTGTTACCTCATTTGGGGATGTTAGTTTAAGATTCCAGCCAGTGTGGGAACCAGATTAGATCAGCCCGTCAGGCCCTGTCAACTCCAGCCAAAGAATGTAAAATACTCCGAGGGGCAGGGAGGCATTGGAGCAGATGGAAACCATGGGGGACTGGCAGGTTCAGAAGACTGGGGATGAGGAACAGAGATGTTTGCCTCAGAGGGCAGCAGACCCACCCCAGCCCAAGTCAGGAGGGACTTAAAGTTGTCCCATGGCTCTTTGGGAGCCTGTAGGTGGTGAGCCTGGTGGTTTCTAGTGGAGAGGCATCCATAGCCACCGGCAGTCATTGTAGAGGCAGCAGTGACCGAATGGGCCATGAAGGCAGGACCATCCTCTTGCCCATACAGGCAGCCACTCCAGGGCA